GTGCATTTTGGAACTTTACCACAAGGTAGTGGACAACATGCTGTATTTGTAAAGCAGAATCATTTCAGTACATATTTTTTATGTTTTCTAATTGTTTTATCACAGTTCCTGGTCGAACGAAGGTTGTGAGATTATTACTACGAATTCAACGCATACGCAATGCAAATGTGTCCATCTTACTCATTTTGCGATCTTGATGAGAGTTACTGATACACCGGTTAGTGTTTTGATCAGAAGTGATTTGGCTTAGGCTATAATTTATTTTGAATAATTACGTCCGAGAAATTAAGCGATTGCTGAAAAATATTTTAAACATGGTTTAAAAAATAGATTTCTCAAGATCACGCAAGAATTCTAACCATTATAACGTACGTAGTTTGTTCACTATCTATCTTTGGAACGTTGGCATCTATTGTAGTGTTTCTTATGCTTAGGTATGTATAATATTTTGCAAGCGATTGTTGTAAGAATTTCTTGCATGATCATTTATAAGATAATTTAGTTATCTATTTATTATAATGAAGGCTACTTTACTTTTGTATTGTTGCTATAAAATAAAGTGTAATATTAAATTAAATTTTTAAATATTCGTAATTCGTTATATTTTACTTCAAAAAAAATTTGTATAGATTTTTGTTATCCTGGGATAAAACCATGATAGCTGCATCTTATTTTGCGCTAATGCATTGCTTTTTCTATTCTATTACTGATATCGGCTGTAATAGATTGACTAGCGATCGATATCAAATTCATATGAATTTAGGGATCTCATTACTTTTGGCACAAATTGGCTTGCTGTTGGGTGATGCTGTAAAGCTTTGGCCGGTAATTATTTAAATTAATTCGTAATAGGATGAAAAATAACCCTTAGTGTAATAAAATATCTTTTGCTATGTCGTATCATATTTCGTGAAGAGTTAGTAAGGTAGCCGAATCTTGTTATAATAATCATGAATGAATTCTCTCTATAGGTGCCATGCAAATTTTTAGCTATCTATCAACACTTTTTCTTTCTTGCGATCTTTTCATGGATGTTAGTTGAAGGCATACATCTTTACTTCCAAATAGTAACAGTATTTGAGACCAAATCTAAAACAATTATATATTACTCTCTTGGATGGGGTAAGCATATAAATTTATATACGAACATGCAGAGAGATCTTAATGATATTTTATTCTTTAAAACAAATACCCTTGTGATTAAAAATCAGTAACAAAATTTAACAGTTTTAATCTTAGAAGAGTATATAGAAGTACTAACTAAGTCATTTATTAAAATAGATGCTTGTATTATCCTCTAATAGGTATTCCACTTATCATTACCATTATATCTGTTGCTGTTAGACATCAAGATTACGGAACAAATAGCGTGTAAGTTAAATGATATTGCGATACTACAGAATATAGAGAAAGTACAATTCGACATGCGCCTCATTTAAATTAATGTTATTTATGAAATGAATGGTTTACTTATTTTCGTAGTAATAATGTCTATATTCTTCTCTTGTCTAGGTGTTGGTTATCCGTCAAAAACGGATTGATTTGGGCATTTGTTGCCCCAGCTATAGTCATAATTTCAGTAAGTCTGCTATATTCTACTTGAATTATGTCGCTTTAATGAAAACATATTATTATGATAGCAATTTCAGAGTTATTCTTTCTGCAATAGCGTGTGCTTTTAGAATCTGATTTTTACTTACTTACCTTCTAAAGATAAATACATTGATATTGGCTACTGTGGTGAGAATTGTTGTTGGTAAGGCTAAGTTTCAAATTGTTCAAAAGAACCAAGGCCACTGGAAAAGCTTCAAGTAAGGCTTCATTTATTACTAGTCTTCGTTTATGTATCTAGACAATTTAAATAAAAGTCCACAACATAAAGTTTTTATCATAACTAAGCAATATCTTTCGTATTCGTAGATCTAGCCTCAGAGCAGTTACTGTTCTTTTACCTTTATTGGGTCTGACTTGGCTATTTGGTCTGTTATCAGTGGATAGTAATACTATTGTCTTTAGTTACATCTTTGTGATCTTTAACGGCTTGCAGGTAAAGTAGCTAAGTTTCGTACTTATACATTAGCTAGTATCTAATGTAGATAAGAAACGTACATGTAAGAGCAAATTATTCCTATTTTGAACTAACGCGGTATTTTCTTGTTATTTCACAGGGATTTTTCTTTTTCCTCTTTCACTGCTGCTTCAATTCAGAGGTTAACATTACTTCCTATCAATTTAATAGCTTAAAAAATACCCTCTATAAAACTATAATTGAACTCTTTACAGATTAAATCGAAATTAGCACGCCAATCGAATAAATTTAGTTATGAGTCCAGCAGCTCAGGATCACCGTTGAAGGTTTTAATTCAAAATTATTTTAACAGCATCAATATGTACACATTTTCTGTATTAAGGCTGTCTAATAAATTTAATTACTAAACAAAATTTTTATTAACTTTGGATAAACTAATTAATTATAATAGTTATCTTATTTTTATGTACGACTTTCTCAAAATTAGACTATGAAGCGAAATAAACAGAAGAACCTAGGTTCTCGTAGCCGAGCAAAAGTAGCTCCTAGTGATTATTTTTCATCAGGTAATTGTTAAAGTGCTGATAGCATCATAATCTATATTAAAAACATTAAGGTGCTGTATAGACCAAAAATCTTCATACTTGATAATCATTTCATCATTATTTCTGAAGCTACAAAGTATCTTGCTTGGGTTTATGACTACTTGATGAATGAGAAATTTAAATTGTATTTATCTTTTATGTAATGCTATTCTAGACGATATCAATTCGAAGACATTGTCCACGGTAAGTTGATATAATCATTATCAAATGCTGCTATAGGATTCACTATGCAATTCGATTGCAGAATTGATGCATATGTAACACGATATTCATTGATGAAATCCGTATAATAATTTGTATAAAAAAGTTTAAATTATATCGATAAATAGTTAAATATCTTGGATAAATAAAGTAATAAACGTGGGCCTGATAATAGAATGTTCCATTATGATTTTTTTTAACGCAGGAAGAAACACGTGAAGAAATGATTAGAAAAGATAGTGACAGCTCCTTAAGCCATGGAAAGGCTTGAAAAGTCACGATGTCATAATAGCATTTGTGAATATCACCAACTCTTACGGAATGATACTATTAACAATGGACTAGATTTCAACTAATTTTTTCAATATTTAACCGGTGTATTCGATAATATCTGGATATTATTGAACAGGCTTAAGAAACATTTATAAGGAAAACTTATCCCAATGCCACCTTAGCTGCAGTAGTGTACGTACATATCAACCTGAAGATATGATCATTGATTGTAATGTATCGCATACAATACCGTATGATATGAATACTGTTATTGCTGAAATTTAGCCATCGATTTTTATATTTCAATCCAATTCACCGATATTCATTGCGACACACTTTGACATCCAAATTAAAATATTATTGTATGAACTATTTACAGTGCACCAAACGCATTGTATTTCAATGCCAGTTTATTTAGTCAATGTATTATATATATACCCATAAATCTATATATGATATATAATGGAGCTTATTGTATTGTTCTGTTGATAGTGCTACTTGTAATATCCTAATAATTTCTAAACAAATTGATTTTACTGTTTGATGGATCTATATAAAAATCAATTTTTCTATGTTTATCGATATTTTTACGAATTCATCAAGTCATGATCATCATTAAACTATTGTTTGGTATCACATTCAAATTTAATGGAACTTTGTTGTCATGTGAATTGAATGAATGTACAGTAATACAGTAGAAGACCATTTCGTAACCAATCTTTTATTATCTTTAAAAATTGCAATACTGAAAATAATGAACTCCCTAGTTTTGATTGTCATCATGTTTGAATAATATTGAAGAGAAATGCAGTCTACAGTTGTACTGTAAAATTATAGTATGCCCTGTAGTTTCATCTTCTGTCGAACGTTAAATCATACAGTAGGTTTAAATACAGAAAATGGATAACATACAGATTTCTACCAATTCCTGTTCTATACTCGTATATACTAGTGTATGCTGTATGACCATCGAGATTTTCTTAACTCTACAGTATGACATATGCACGACATGTTCTAATCCTAACTGCAATGCTACAGTATGTCTTTCTACTTCTAGACTGAGACGAGAGAGAACTGTTTCAGAGAAGAGAAACTTTATTACTGTACAGTACTGTAAGTCCGTTAGGTACAGTACCAGTACCGGTACAATTCTGTAGTTCGTGTACCGTAGTATGTACTGTACAGTACTAATACAGTATAACTTCAATCATCGTAGATTTTTTATGAGACACCCAGGGTACTGTACTGTGTGAGTGTACAGTACAGTATGTACTGTACTGTACAGTACTGTACTGTACTGTGCTGTACTGTACTGTACTGTACATTAGTCTCCGGCATCATGTAATTATACTACCTATTGAGACTACTGTACAGTACAACGTGTACTTGTAGCACCATTAACAGTATCACAACGCACTACAGTGTACAGTATGTCGTGGACTACAGTACTGTACTGTTCAGTACAGTAGATACAGTCCTACAGACAGTATTGGTGTACTTTCTATACCGGAAAGGCGGAAACTACTAATTATGCGTTAAAGCATCATTAGAGTATCACAACGCACTACAGTGTACAGTACTGTATATCGTGGGCTACAGTATGTGTACTGTAACTTATACACTGTACACTGTACTATACTGTTCTGTGTTATACGCAGTATTGGTGTACTTTCTGTACCGGAAAGGCGGAAACTACAGTACTGTACAGTACAGTACTGTACTGTTCTAATCATGTACAGTACGTACAGTACAGTACACAGTACTGTACTGTACGGTACTGTACTGACTGTGTACAGTACACTCGTCAAATTTTGCACGTGCGGCAAGGAATACGCCTGCGCCAATCGTGACCAACCTTTTCCTACTTACTCAAGGCATTGTGGTCGTTCGTTCTCTTTCCTTGTGGCGATCCGAAAAAGGTATGAGCATTTTTTAGCATGTCGTTAACAATTTCATCCTACTGCTATTTGGGGCATCATATCCATCCCTTTTTACTACAAAATAATTTTAACATTAATTTCACTTGAGATTATCCATCGATTGTAGTTGGATGATTTAAAATTTTCTTATATACGTCTTGTTGAATATGAATAGGTAGTCAACGCCATCATGTTGTCAGCCGCAGCCAAAATCCTCAAGCCCAATAACGAACAACCCGATGAGTTCGAGCAGTCTGTTGCTCAGGTACTGTAGGCTATGACATTAATTTGCTGTTCTATTTTATAAGGAACTTTGTGCTATATCTTGGATAGCATCCAAAGCTAGGTAGAGAGATAAAAATAGGTCAACGAAACAGTCATAATACGCCGATTTTTACATCATCGATCATACCGCTCAAACTGATCAAGAAGGAAGATGTTGATAGACTACTACAGTAGAATATGTTTGCTAGTAAGATTACATTGATTTGATGGCAGTTTGCTAGGATGCCAACTCAACCAGATTTTCAAGTATTAAGAGAACGGAGATCGCTATGGATAGCGTCAATAGATCGCTTTAAAGACAAAATAAAAAATGAGTGATAGTTGCCCTTGTATATTCAGTCAACGATAGACTGAGACCCGCACTACGCCTATCGACTTTGAATTAGGCCAGGAACTAATGGTCTCTGATTAGGCCATGAATCTCTACTTACCATGAGTAAATCGTAGTCAACGTAAGGTTTACTTCGTACTGTACTTATAAATAGGCTGCTAGATTGCTATTTAGGGTTCATCATAACCTTATTATTGTATAGTGCCCCATGTTGCAACTTGCAATAGTAACGGAGTAATGGCATTCAATCTGTACTAGTTCAAGGGTTGTTTGCTATTAGCGAAACTAAATGTGTAATGTATGAAATCTTTACAATATTACAGTATCAACTTAGCTATCGTAACAAACCGTTCCCTTAATATACTGAAAGGCTTGACTTGTCGTTTTGAAAAGGCAAATCCATTTGTAAATTATCACAGCCTGTCGTTTAACTACGAATCAGAAATGATTTCATGCGTAAAGTAATATAATGTTAGATTTAGCCAGTTTCTAACAGAAGGACTGTTATTCGATTTAACGTAGCTTTCAGAAGCTATCAGTCCTAATACTTGTTAACCATATGTAAACATTAGGCAATTCTTGAGCTGGAACTGAATTCCGATTTGAAAAACCAACTTCGAGAATTACAGATTTCTGCAGCTAAGGTTAGATATATATATTGAACTATAATATACAGATTATTCTTTAAGCAAAGATTAATAGGTTCTAATACACAATATTTATGCTATTTTAGGAAATTGATGTGCTAAACAAGAAAGCTATCATTATTTCTGTACCTTTTCCTCAGTTGCGTTCATTTCAAGTTATCCAGGTAATGATAAAGTTATTACCCGTATATATTGTCGGTATAGATGCTGTATTGCCATTGCTGGGCTAGAGTGATTAGTGCTCTTAACTTGATGTTATTAACATGATGTCCATGATTTTTTTTTCAATTCGTACAGCCTCGTTTAGTTCGTGAGTTAGAAAAGAAGTTCTCTGGTAGCTCTGTTGTAATCGTTGCTCAGGTAATTATAATTGGATAGTAGTACATCAGCTAATGACGTAAATTGTTATGTAGCTATGTTATCAAGTGGGAGATTTAAGTGAATTATAGTTGCTTATGTTATGTATTTGTTACCTCATAGCGTCGTATCCTTAAAAAGCCTACGAGAAAGCAAAGGAAAAGTAAGCAGCCAAGGCCTAGAAGGTGAGTAGTCAACTGCTCTTATGTAATTCTACACTTGGCACCTTTGCAACGCACGTCAAGTTTAACAGCGAGAAATTAATGAGTTGCTAATATGTTTATTTACCAGCCGAACTCTTACGGCTGTGCATGATTCAATCTTGGAGGATTTGGTATTCCCTTCAGAAATTATAGGAAAACGAACATTAGTTCGTATTGACGGATCAAGGCTAATTAAAGTGTAAGTGATTTGATGTTTTCAACAGTATATAAGGTATGTGTAATTGCTTGAAGACTGTAAAGTAAGTAACATTTTTGTTACGTGCATTGTAGATATTTGGAAGAAAAGGAACGACAAAATTTAGAACATAAGGTAAGACCAAGTTTTGGCTATTACTTTGTATGTTCTAAAACTAATGTGTAAATAATATACTGTTCTGTATGTTTTACTCAATAGAAAGAAGCATTTGTTGCAGCTTATAAAAGATTAACTGGCAAGGACGTACATTTTGAGTTCCACAAGGACGATTAGTTTTTACAATATGTAAATTGTCTATCTGCAAATAAAATCGACTTTTATCTGTAATTTTATTTGATTTTATGACGTTTTCAAATCATCCGGAAATCGTTAGATAGCAAAAGGATTAGTCTGGACTATTAACGGAAAGAATGATATTATGAAATATTGTTTAGATAAAAGGGATATGAAATTTTAAATTGATAATTTAATGATGTTGGGAATTTACCTTGGGAAGCTCTGATAGTAACGGTCGACATGTCAGCAGATGATACAATTTCAATGGTTCAAGACCGATATCTGATAAAATTTTTCGAATAATTAGGTTAGCATCATTGAATCCTTAGTATACTGCATATGTGGCCTTAACAGATCTGTTTCTAAGTTTTATAATTTTATATCGTTTTGGTAAATATATTCAGTGAAGGCCCTGCTAATGTTGGGGATAGGGTTACCCCTATATTATTACATCCAAAATACCGTAGCCAATATTTCAAATCAATGAAGGGATTTTATTCTAAATCGTACCATCAGTTGATAAAAATCGTATTCCATGCCTTCATAATCCTAGTGTATTGGACTATTACTATGTAGCCTTTATTCGAACACTATTGGTAATCATAACGCATTAATTCTGATACCGTTACTTTCGAGATCAATTTACTGTCTCGTAATGAAATATTTCCCTTCGAATAATTGGCAAGAGAGTTCTGCTTACACGTATGCTGGTGCAGCATAGCCGGTGTTCATATAGTATTCGGAGAGAAAGCTAGTGTTATAATGGTCGTAGACCGCCTAGATGTTATTGACGTACCGTATCTAAAGGCATTTATACGAAATTAAATAGATTTTCGATTTATAAATTTAATAGGTATATAGAATGTGATAGATTAATCAGCACGTTAAATGGGCGCTATAATGATTAAAATCGCAGTAGTAATAAAGTCCCATTATTGTTTTAAATTAAATGTACGGGTATTGTCTAATTTATAATTAATCAGTACCGTACCGGCTGTACGATATCGCCATATTGTCGTGCTTCGCCAATTTACGTCCCCACAATTCTACATGCATACCTGGCCTAACTACTACTAATAAGAATAGACTACGGTATATTAAAAGAGCATAACAATGTTGTTATTTTATTATCCCAAATCTATTTATTTCAGATAAAATTCATTATTCATTTAGTATTTATCAATTTTAAATTACAATATTCAGTGTGGTGATGTACAGTACATCAAACGTATTATACAAAATAAAAGCAACAATTGAAGGTGATGGAAACAAAATTATTAATCATTATAGAACTTAATCTATCAGGAAGGCATTCAAGATAAGTCAACCACTTGCTAACGGAAATGGTAAATATCAACAACTGCAAAAGTAAGACAATTTTCTACAGTCCGTTTAATACTAGTAGTACTATACTGTACAGTACATCAGGTTATTGTTACCGAATACAGTACAGTAACTCTGTAAGCTTATGAAAACATACGTTATTAACCTAATATCTAACTAATAATCCAATTTAAATTAATAAAGATATCGGCCATTTAATTTCTAATATTTATCCAGTATACTAAATGAACCGAAGGATAGTGAAAGATATCAAATAAGTCAGAAAATCACAACAGTATTCGACAGTTATTAGTAACTGATTAAACCCTTGTATAATAAGTATCTTTTCGGACAGACTGGTAGAACTTGTACTGTAATTAACAGTTCTTGCAGATAAGTATAGCAGATATTAATAAGATTGCTTCAAATTTAATATATAAATTAAATTATTAATATTTCCTCATTAGAAATATCAGAAATATCGAGGGTGTGACGCGTGACAGAGGTGAAGGATTAATACTTTATAAAGGAAGATACTAAGTATCGGTTGAAATTATCATCACTTATCACGATGCTGCAGTAGGGTTCATTTTTAATATTTATAATGATTTAGAATGATTTAGAAAATTAGACATGATGCCGTCTCGTTAGAGTTTACCGAGTTATTCGTGAATAGAACTAACTATTCTGTTGTCGCTTAGACATATTGCTATGTATTTTTATCGTATAAATTATACATTATCCTAAAGTATGTATTAATATATAAAGAATTAATTCACCCACGAAGTCTTAATACATTTAAAAGCCTTCATTACAATACATGAGATACAAAAGAGAACCAAATAAACGAATTGTGTGAAGGCTTATTCGATAACCGTCATGGATGACAGCAATGGAATTAAATTAAAACGATCTTTAACTATTACATATTTTATTTTTCTATCTAAAAGTTGATTATGACGTATAAAATAAAATATTATACTTAGTTTACGTCAATAATTATGAATACGAAGAAGAATGGTAGAATAAAATTTTTACGAATAAACATTACGATATTATATTTTAGAATCAGCACGTTGTTTTTAAAATGACTATTTACGAGTTAAAATCAGCTGGATATCTCATCAAACTGAAATATAAGTTGGTTATAATACCTTAATAGTGTGATTACATAGTATAGGTATCATCAAAGTACACAGACGAAATTCATGACTTCTTGTTTTGTATGGAACAAGATGATTTGTGGGTTTATCTGATGATACTGGTTAGTGATATATTTCAAAATAATTAATAGTGCCCTTCTTAATAACCATCAATATTTTACGATCGACATATTTTAAGAAGTGCAAGTAAACATTGTACCGTTGTTCACAGACTCGAATATACAGTATGTGTGTGACAATAACAGATTTATATCGCATAATTTGTTTATTAAGTGAAAGATGTAAGTCCTGTGTATTAGGGATTATTCATAAATAAATAAATAAATAGTACCGATTTGAGTAATTGACTAGTTGAATGATGCTGAATTGAGCTATAATAGCTAGTTAAATGTAAAGTTGCACGCGTTGATCAAAGAATTATCCGTGGAATAATAGAGTAGTACCAATAATATCAGGACTGAAAGAAGTATTAGAAGGGTAGTTATAATCAATAGCTACGTGGTAGATTTGCTAGATCAATAAAGGAAAAGCGCACTTACGTATTTCATATTATCCCTTTGTGTCATAACCTTGGTTGTGGCAATGTGATATTAATTATGTATTATTGAGACCTATATTATTAGCAAGAACAGCAAGGTAAATTTACTATTGCAAGATACCTCGACTAAATATACATAGTTACCGAACTGTACCTTCAATTAAAACTGTTTAAATAGTTTGTAAAGCAAAGCATCACAAATGAGCCTCAAATTTGTCAAAGATAATCATTTTAATGCAGTACAAGCTCGATATAAACAATATCATTAACAATTATAAAAACTATATCTTAGTTTAATCTATAAATGGCCTAGAATATTTGGAATTGATCTTATGAGACAAAGTTTGTTAAATAAAAATATATGAAAAAGAAGTTTAAATTCTACCGTAAGAAATTTGATCATGGACGATCCTATTGCTGCTAGTTCAAGAATGCCAACGAATAGTATAAAATTTTTCAAGCTGGCTATAGAAAAGGAATATAATATGCGCATGCTAACATTAATAAGAAATTAAAGCCATCTCACTTGTTTAAGTCTACATGATGTGATTAATTGTAACTTAACTGATCATTAATAATCGTCATTGGAATAAATAATGCTTCCTCTGTGCAATTATCCTACAGTTATCAATATTCCTATGTAAATTAGTACTATAATAGATATGATTTACGATAGTAACTTCAGCTACTTATCATACTCATGTCTGTTTGAAAAATTACTACGAGATTATCGTGTTTTTAAATCGGTAAAATAGGTATGGATAGAAGTATTACCAGATAAGCGCACATCCAAGTAGTTCTAGAATATTGTTATTAATATCTTTAGTATAAGAATGTAATTTTTTATCTTTGCTATTTAATGAAATCATTAGTGACAATAAGAGTTAAGAATAAAATTGTATGCTCTATTACGTTTATAAGTAGCTTCCTTATTTTTGTATTCCAGTCGTAATACGAAAACTAGGGTAATTAACATCCGATGGAACAAAAATACCAGATTGCAATTAAATCTGGGGTATCTGTGTAAAGGAAATGAATTTATAATTTATTGGCCATTACCAGAAATCTGTTTATCTAACAATGCTGGCATTAAATTATAATCTCTTTTTGATTTGGCAAGATATATGGATAAATATCTAAGAATCCGTTGACAACTAGTTATTTTTATGAACAATATTGCAAGTCTTTCTATCAATTTATAGACCCAATACTGAAACTACTACTTAGTGCATTAAGTCTGAGCTTAGTTCGCCATTAGGGTATATAAATATCAATTATAATATAATTAGTATTTGTGATTTATCTGCTACTATTGCGTAAACTTTAACCGAATTCAATAGGGCACATTCCATAAATTTACCATAATGAGGAAGGTTTAAAAGTATTGGATTGATTAAGTAAATATAGAATAAGTATGAAATAGACATTTATCAATTAAAATAAGACCTAACAACAACTATTTCAATCGACGATGAGAAAATCGTTTGGATAGCGGCGCAATCGATGAACATATGAATAACAAAAATCTGTCATTATTCGGGCGTGTCTAATCAACTGTATATTTTCTCCACTAACCGTTCAACTTGAGGGGTCAGTATCCATATAATTAGTTAATCAATATTAACAAATATCAATAAAAAATGTCGATGTAAATGAATGCCTCCTTCAGCCAATTAAGTGGGTAGTACCGTTGGTTTTGATTCAATGAAAGAGAGGTCACGGTAGTTGCCTATTAAACTACGTGAAAAATGTACTGATTAATTATAACTTGCCAGCGATTATAGCATTGCGTATAGATTGGGCTGAGTGATTGCTATCCTCTCTACAACACTTGGTGCCTTCCAATCTAACAATAGAAGACAATTGAATTGTTCAAGTTATTAACTAATGAATCAATCGCTATTGTTATTTGGTAATAAGACAAAACATAACGGTGATGTCATCATTGTAGTTAATATACATGACATAAATAAAAGTTTGATTATTAATTAATGATATGACTACCTGAAATGATAAATTGGAGACGTTACTGACCAACATCTGCGACTATTGAGTACAAGTTGAAAAAGAACAAAACATTATTAAGAAGAAAAAGATCATGTTCTAAAAAAGGATAAATTCAGCCTAGTGATTTCATAAGCTTGTTTGATGTGTAAATCTCAGACTATTAGATGATCTTATCGTTTTGTATACCAACTTACATCACCTCAGTTATTGAATCAATATCATCTATTCTACGAAGACAACCCATCATTAATTATATACGCTTATTGTATCAAAGCTAGACGCTATTAATAATTCTCGTGAAAGCGATATAAGACTTCCATTTCTGATCGAGCCTGCATCATTATTAATGAGCTACAACTGTAGGGTGGTTTTGTCTTTGAATACCTGGCTAACGTTGATTTCGATACTCTAAGTAATAGTTCAATTCTTATTACATCTAGAATTTGCTTGAAACATTTACAGATTGAAAGATTTCCTCGGTATAAACCCTACTAATCATCGAATTATTTGGACGTAGTCTCAAAAGACGCTGTGGCATTGCCATTGGAATTTTGTTACTTGAAATATAAAATTGAAACTCTTTAGTATAACTTAACTTGCGTCCAGTATAAATTTCAAGATTAACTGATATTTTTCATTTATTTTATTATTGATAAATTCAATCTTAACTATTTCGGTATTTTGTGGCAATCACGATAAGAAATACTATCAAGGGTAAAAAATGTATTTGTACTTGAATATACTCAGAAACAAGAGGGCGACTCAAACTGAAGTAAACAACAGTTTAGCTCCTTGGCCAGAAATTGTTCCAAAGTTCTCAGAAGCTATTCCAGAATGGCGAGCCGCATGGCCGATACACATTTATTTAACATCGATAGCGTATATCATGATCTTATTGACATGTCTATATTTGCTTTATCTCAAAATCCAAGATAAACTTCAAAATCGAGGTAGAAATAGCCAACTATCGTTATCATTGTATTCTAATTTGGCAATATGTGCACTAACTCGATCTTGTGCTCTGTTAATTGACCCTTATGCATCAAGACCGTCTATTTTACCAATTGTTTTTCACTTGCTCTGGGCATTAAGTTTGCCAGCATTCACTGCAGCATTTACTATGTTACTCTTGGCGTTGCTCGATACTACCAAAAAATACAAGACCCCGCCATTTTTTCATAAAAGTCGAAATATTGCCATCGTCATTATCATTAATTTTGCATTTGTCATCTTGCTTGAATTATTAGTACAATTCTTTACGGAAGCCAAAGTTTTATTGATCGTTTGCCAAGGAACTTATATCGTTTTCAACCTGTTCCTCTCGGTTGGTTACTTTATTGCTGCGAAAAGAATTACTACCAATCTTGTTACTGAAGCTCAAGGCTACGACAAAGATTTTAATAAATCACTAAAGCGTTTAATTTATTCCATCTACGCTTGCTCCATACTATCTCTTTTAACATGTATTTCTCATATTTATGCTATGGTTGGCGTTTATAGTGTATTATCTCCTGTTCGCTACGCTGAAGCCTGGCCATGGTGGGCTTTCCAAAGTATTCAGCGCGGTTTAGAATTAATCTTATGCCTTATAATGTTGATTATTATTTGGGGTAAACATTCCAGTAATCGAAGTGCTCCTATAGCCCCGGAAAGTCAGCATTCTACATTCCACGCCTCCGATTATGTTCAATTAACATCGTCATCGAAAATTAATCATAATAGTAAGGAAGAATTAAAACTAGATTTGACTAAAACGGCATAATCTATCCTGATATAGTAATCTCATCTTTTATATTAATTGATTTGATAAGTATCTCGACATGCCTGATAGCATTAAAATAAATTTATGAGTGGTTAAGGATGTATTAAAATGTTACTTTAGCATATAAAAATTGTATATCGTCAATCAAAGTAAAAATATTTCGCCATTTTATCATTTAGTACATCTCGATTGCTTTGAAAGTCTTAACAGTCTTGATTTACTCTGGCAAATATTGTACTAAACTAGATTATACCATTTATGCCTATAATTATTGACTAGTCCGTCTAGTCTACTAAATATAATTACTAAACAAGGCATCTTAAGTGCAACAACAATTTATCATCATGTTTATCGGAGTTGGTAAACATGATATCAAGTCCTCTTTGATTATAAAGTATATTACGAAATAATTCTATAATTTTTGATTATTCAAGATAGTATCATCCGGTGATATGTTCATGGTTTCATATTTTTCTAAGAAATGACGCCATAGTGCTTTGCATGTAATGATATTCTACAATGTAATTGAAAATTTATTGGGTACAGCATAAAATTATAAATAGACCTTGTTTGATATTCCGTATATTTGGCTGGAAGACACACAAATTCATATCATAATTCATCGATTATGGTCTATAAATGATCATACCCTTGATTAACTAGATAGAAAGTTGAAAGATACTTAAATTTACTGGTGAGCTCCTATTTACTCGTATTACCCATTTTCAGATATGAACCTAAGACTTTCAGGTGCTTCACATCAACATTTTATTTTAATCCAGCAAGATACTCAGACTAAGGAATATTTTATGGCTAGATGACAAATTGCCTCGAATAATTGACTTTTATCTAACTTATCTAATCACCGCTTTTAATTTACTTCTACAGTAAAGGCAAGCATTCTCTCCGCTTACGGCAATCGCTACTAGAATTAATTTGGTGCCATATCTTCAATTTATTGTCGACTTCTAAGCAATAGTTCATTTAATTAATGTTTACAAAGTTATAGTTACAATGCTTAGAATATGGATTATCACGTTAATAATCATAGTCATCCTTTTAAGTAACGCACTATTAGGTATAGCACAGTTAATATGTTTGCAAGAAATTTTAATAGAAAGCTGAATTATGGCATGTTAATTATCTTAAACTTTATCTATTTCTATCTTGATATTTAGTAATTGGGTAATTTTGTCCTCTGTTGTTAATCTTCAGGTGTTTTAATCATTGACAAAAAGTCTTATTAAATTTAAGCAAGTGATGTATTCGCAAATTTTAATTGTCATAGATGTAGAGGCTCAGCTAATATTCTTTTTCTGTTATAATACCGGTGAAATTTTATTCGATTTCAATAATATAAAAATTTTTAGCATTTGATAAATGAATCAATGTGTATGTTATAATGCTAGATTACTCATTGCACATTTAGTTTATCAGCCATGGTCCTCATCCAATTATTACATTAATTGTGTTGAAGATAAGAATCATGTTTAGCTTCTGGGCGAGAAGAAATTATGTTTCAATGTTTACAAATGCTAAGATCTATAATTGCTATCTGTAATCACCGGTATCTCTTTATCTCAATAGGATACAATAACTCTATAAACTCAAAGTATAGATAGTCAGTTTAATTTAGTCTATATTATATTGTAGTTTCGAATTTTTTGTCTTAGTCGATCATATTAATTGCCTTAATAAGTTTAAAATATCCTTATAAGATTTATTTAAAGCTAGAATAAGAGGGTGTAGTGTATTTAGAATATACTGTAACTATATTCTGCTCTTAAATATAGACATGTTGTATTGCTCTTATATTTAGACATATCTACAGTCCGCTTACTTCACATTCATATATAGGCTACTGTATTTAGTTATTACAGTACTCGCTGTTTGCTATAATCATCAGCTATGTTATAACCTGTTATGGTATATGTTGTATCTAATTCTACAATTCTATTCTCTGCATGTACTCTATCTTTAAACTGTAAATACCGCCGTTTTCCACTTTAGAAATCGTTAGTTTCCTGGTTAGTCTTCACACGTTACTCATGACAGCTTGCACGCTGGTCTACCGTAACTATCTCACTGTATTTACTTTACTACTTAAAATAAAGTATAACTTTTATACAACTTTTGGTGCACTAATTGTAAATGGCAACTAAATCTCAATCCTCCGAGATATTGAACCCTCCATCACAGAGGGCAATGCGAAAGATTGAAAATTAGCGACTTACGGTATTTTATTAAATCATATATATGATGCTAAAAGTGAAGACAGTATGTGAATAAAAATAGTTATACCCTTCTGTAAGTATGCTAAAATTTTAATGTAAAATCTATATAGAACATAAAGCATACGAATATTCTATTTTATCTACTGTAAATGTTTATCATCTAAAAGCTGTAAATGACTGTACCACATGGAGAGCAAGGTAGGGAGACGGTTAAATAATTAAGATATCGTATAAAACTTTAATTTATCTTCTCTTTCATATGTACTGGACTCATTACTGTCTGTACATTCTTAACTACAAGTAAATACTTCTAGTAACTAATTAAATGATGAAGAAAAAATAAAATTGAAATAAAGAAATGAAATAAATTTAAGAAAGAAAGCAATGTAGTAGCACAATGATAGATCCATATTTTATTTCTCTTTAATTCCACTCTATCTCAATGTAAATTAGCGATACTGTTTAGCATAAGATCACTTATGCAATAACAATTTATCATTTACTCAGTGGCAATAAAAATTTTTTCAATCGTATGAGTTATTTTTGGTATAAATTAACTCAACTTGGTATAGCTGATGATTTTACGCGCATTAATTACTCATGAGTAATTGATGTCATTTATCTCGAACTTCTTCTACATCAATTATTCATGAGTATTTGATGTAGAAGAAGTTCGAGATAGATGGCAACCCAATAACGTGCCCAGTACGCTGTAGTAGTATCATTAAGCAGTTTAGGTTTGCTGTACTACTGAAAAGGTCAGGATATTGTTTAAATTTCTAAAATTTTTGTCAATATGGTAAAATGCAAACGTAATTTGTATATTGCCAGCAGATAAATCGTAGTTTTTACATTCCACGATTGAGTCATATTACATTGCATTAGTAGATTAAATTACTTCTGTTTATGTCTACTGGATGATATGGAAAATTTAAAAGATGTTAATCTTACTATGATGTTATATTCAGTCATGTAATGATTCATACGATATGCGTAGTTACGGGTATACAAGGAGTAATTTGGATATACTGTAAGTAGTATTTATTGAGTCAACATCGAAAATATTTTAATTACAAAATTAGATGCTTTTCCCTTAATATTTTTATTGTTTATCATTTATAAAATCTTTTCTTAATCTGCTATTTATCCAATACATTTAAGTTGTATTTTCGATTTCACTTTAAGATTGTATCATTCTCAACCAACGTCAGATAACAGATAAATGGAAGCGTTGATAAATATTAAAGCATAACCTACAATTTATTATTTTTAATAGAATTTTAGTATAGAATAAAGACATGCTGGTGTGAAAAAATTATTATCTTACTTGGGTTATTTATTCTTCAATTGTTTTATTATATATGCAGAGCACTGAATCTATACCGATTTATAGACTAATTAAAAATTTTATTACAGCTTAATTGCATTGCAAATCACTGTTATCTACCATGGAAAGTAATAGATATTGACATTATGATCCTTAATACAATTTATTACTGTCGTGACTGAAGTGTCTTACCTTTACTCATGAAATAGAATTAATAAAAAAAGAATAGGGCTGTTTGGTAGTAACTAAGGTAACGAATCTATCGCTTGGTATTAGGGCATCTGAGATTAATGATAGCTACTATGACAGACGGAAGTATTCAGAGAAATTTTATTTAATTATGATATTATAATTGAATAGCAGTTGTTTTTGCATACAAGTTATCATTTCTACGATTTTGAATAAAATAAGCAATATATAAATTTCGTTTCATGAGAGTGATCTTAAATTAAATTTAAATAGCAAAGTATCAATTCATTTCTCAGCATCTGCATGTATTCATACACCAAACCTATAATTGGTCAAATTCGGGTTTTGATCGTAATTTATACAGTACATGTAGATTATAGACATATATGGAAAGTATGTTCGTGCGCGTACTGCAAGTCTAAAATAGCGCAAGTTTCTAACTGCTAACTTATGCAACAAATTGCACTAAAAATAATTTAGGTATGGTAAACTACAGTATGTTACTTCAGAATAGAGCAATAAGGTACATTTCTCACCGCGTGACTAACGGCATCTTTAGGGTACCTGGTATATTGTATATCATATTGGATAGAAAAAGAGGACACCAGCTATATTACTGTAGCATTATCAGAAAAGGTACTATCTTCTTGTTAACGTAATAGCTAAAATTAAAAATGATAAATTTAGTAAACTAGTTTGCTCAATCTTACGATACCAAATATTGCATCCTGTTTAATGATCTAAGCCCAGTTGATCGATATGAATTAGTATTAGTATTAGTGATATGAATTAGTATTCATAGATGCTGCAAGACAGTATAGGTAAATAAGTCATTCTTAGCTGATGTCAGACTAGGGTTCTCGGTTGTATTGATAGTTAATAACTGAAATTTCTAGCCTAAAAGTCAAAAATTGACATTTTCAGTGCAGCTGTTCTAATGTAAATTACAATAGTTATGACAGGAGCTGAACTTACGAAATCTAGGGTATTTATCAGTCGTCAATATCAGTTGTAAGGGAAATACAGAATATTTTATTATACTAAATTTTGCTTTATGTCTACGCAAATATTTTCGAATTTCTTAGTTAAATCATGAAATTTTATAATTATTGGCGATGGTTTTATTTGTATCATTTTTCATAGTGCCATATTTAAAACATCATGACTCATCTAAAAAATTTATTGTTTCTATTTAAGGCTATGCTAGAATAAGTAAAGGGTTGCTATTGAATTGGAGATTTATAGACAGC